GTAGCCAAATGTGCTGTTTTGTTTCATCCATAACATATTGTAAAAGCTCCGTCCCCAAATTGACTATATTTTTCTTACCAATAACTTCCAATTTTTCAATATAGTCATATAATTGTTTTGGAAAAATACCTTTAATTAGATCTATAAAATTAAATTTATCTTTTCTAAATTTAGGGAAAAAAATATCAAATTTGTTAATATCTGTTAGTATTTTATTTTCATCAACAGTAGCGCCATATTCTTTTAAAAGTCTTATTAGTTTGTCTATCGTTCTTTTGATAATTTGTTTAAGTATTTTCCTATTATGTCTACACGTCCAAACATGGTGAAAATCTTCTTTTTTCTTGTAGCAAAAAACACATTTAAAATCTTGATATATTTCATATGAAGATTTTTTCATTTGTTCGATAGTCGGAATTTCTTCGATTAAACGTTGTATTTTCATCCTCTTTTGTTTACAAATAAATTTATCTGTCTTATAAGTAGTTTCTCCTATTACTTGCTTATTAATGTACGAAAATACTATTTCCCATTTGACATCTAGCAATCGATATCTCCAATTTCTGTTTAAATTTAAGAATTTTTCAAGACCCTGTGTTCTAGTCAATAATCTTATAAATCTTCTTAAATTCATCTCTATAATATAGTTATTCCACATGATTGGAAATTTATATTGTTCCGTATTGTATATAACTAGAGTATTAGCTAATCTATCTTCCATGTCATACCAGCCCCTGATTTCTTCATCTAATTCGTTATGTAACTTATTATTTGAGTGAGACTTGACCTTAATCACATCTAGCTGTTGTGTAAAACTATCTAATATTTCTTTAATATTAAACCAAAGAGAGTTATTTTTATCGAATTTTAAAATATCCCTTGTTGTTGTTGACAGCCATTTATTCGTTAAGTGCTCGTAATTCTTAATTACATTTGAACTATCTGTATATATTATAAAATTTTTATCTTCGTTAATTAATAATAATGCAACAAAAAAGGCCATGGTTTCTGCTTTTGTTGATGTAAGCCATTGTTCTATTGTTGAAAAATATTTATCTATCAATCTTTCTTTATCATCATAGATTGTTATTCCAAAAATCGATGTAATGTTTTCCCTTCCATTATTTATTACTGATCCATCTATATATACGTGGATGTTGTTTGAACTATCTAACTTTATTCTATCTTTAATCCGTTTAATCCGTTGGTACGAGATATTATACCTATTCCCTTTAGCTAAATACTTATCTATATTGTCTCCACTAATTGGTACTTCATATTGAATCATTCTTCCATTATCTAATCTATGTTCTATAATATTACTATTAAAAGCGTAATTATACCTCAAAGCTTCGTCATAAAAATTAGCACTGATACCCTCATAATAATATGTATTTTTCTGTAATCTCTTTGAATGGTGTTATTTATTCCATCTATTTGGTGAAAGCAAAAAGGTACTATCTATACGTTCTATAATTAAACATTTACTTTGAACTTTCTTTTTGAACACTTCAGCATTTAAGGTTCCCAATTCACAGCCTTCGCATTTTCTTAATATAATATTTTTCTCAAAATCATCTGTTAATGTTTCAAAGTGATTAAAGTATATTATCTTGTTATCCACATTTGTTTTAATTACTCTACCAAAGACTGTACGATTCTGAAATTTCCCCCTAGTCAATCGTGAAACAATTGTCGCGCCTTTTTCAGGTAAAATTGTAGCTGGTAAAAGAATTGTCCCTTTTAAATTATATATTTCATCTAAAGCTAACATATTATCATGAATTTGTGTTTTAATCTTGAAACTAATCTTAGAGCAAGAAAGATCTATTATTATCCTTTCGTAAGATTTTCTATGTTCTTGTGACATGCGTTTTGTACTAATTAGTTTTGTATATCTTTTTAGTTCCATTTCCTCAATCGATAGCAAATAGTTTTTATCCAATGTTGTTATTTGATCTACAAAGATTAAATTATTTTCCTGTAACATATTAAAGTTCTTAATATATATATTGTCTGAAATAACATCCCGTAAAGGAGTTGGACCATTCTCCATATTATATTCTATTAGCAATCCAGCATTTTTTGCTATACTGAATTTATTTTCTATCATTAGTTTAATATTATTTAAAATGAAATGATATTTGAATCCAACATTTTTAATTTTCCTAATCTTTTGAATTAATTTATAGTCAATAACGTATAATGGATGATTTTCTAATAGTAACTGTTGTTGTATATTTAAAAATCTTATCTCCATAATTCTTCCTAAAATTCCCGTGTCGTTTATCTGTAGAATAAAATTTGTAATTTTGGCTTGACGTTGGTTGGCAATAAAGTTATTTAAGTTATAAATCCAATTTGTTTCTAAAATCGCGTTAGGTGCAGTACGAGCAAATTTTAATTTATTCTTAAAAAAAGATCTAAATTTAGCCATCAGACTATCTAAAATATTTTCTTCTATAACGTAGAGTTGACTTCTATATTCAATTATAGGAATTATCAACATATTGAAAAGATATATCATCATTTTATCAGTAATTCCTTTTCTACAAGAAATATTTTTAATAATTGCTGAGATCTCGTCTTTAAGTTGTTGTATTATATGGCTGTTATTATTAAATGCATTTATCCATACTCCCAAAAAGCGTGAGCTTCTGTTGCGATGCGTTGGTTTAACTTCTATGATGTCTTTTCCAAATTTAATTTTAACTACATCAGCAAATTAATTAAACATAAATCAACGCAATGCTGTAAAGCTGTAAATATAATTTTGATAAACATTGCAATGATCATTGCATTACATCGCATTGTACATATAATTTCGATAAACATTGCAATGATCATTGCATTACATCACGCTGTAAATTAATTAATTAAATATTGCAATGATCAACTCCATTTATTTGAATTGTTCAATACGTTGTAATTATCTTCATTTATTTGAGTTGTTCAATACATTGTAATTATAAAAATAGTGCAATTTATAAACTAGCTATTTTATACTAAAATATAAACACATTTATAAAGTATTCATTAGACCTACCAAATCGTGGAATAACGTGAACAGGCTCAACAATAGAATCAATCGATACAATAGTATACATTGGAATAATTTTTACAAGTGGGCAATCGTATTTAAATAATTTATGTGGATTATTGTTTTTAAAGTCATACCACTGGATCAAACCTAAATATTGCTCCTCATGACCTGGAATTTTTAGACCGAATAACATTAAAAGCTTAAAAAAAATTATATTAATAAAAATAAATTAATTAAATTTTTTTTTTTAATACTAAATAATTATCTTCAATTTACCTTTGCAAAACACATTCCATTGAATGTATTATAATCTTCTGCTTCTTCTTCGTTCATGTTGATCACTATATCACTAAATACAGGTGTACCAAAATATTCACTTTTAGCTCGTATAATATCAACTTGTCCAATTGTTGCGTTTGTATACCATTTAATAAGAGTTTCTTCAATATCTTCATTAGTGACATTTTCAATGAGATCAAAATATTCATTTAAGGAATTAATTAATACATCAAATGCTTTTTCAGCTTCTGGTGCTAAATGATGTGTAATTTTATATGTATTAACAAATTCATAAAAATTTGACAACGTAAAACTGCCTTCAATATTTCTTAGTGTTAAAGTTTGACGTTTTCTTGTAGATGATGTTGTTATTTTACGAAGATAATTGAGAATACTATCACGACGCTGTAAACGGTCGAATATCAAGCACGAAAAGATGATAAAATTAAATCACCAAATGTAATTATTAAATATTAAGAACGAACAAATTAATCGTGGATTGGCGTAGATGGATAAATAATTAGCCGAAAAGGATAAACATTTAGGAAGAGTAATGATCTACATGATGTAATATTTATTGAATGATTGACAAGGAACCAATAGGATAAATAGAGTCGATCAATTGCGGCTTAGCAATCTTTAACAATAAGAACGATAAGAAAGAATAATTATAAGCCACAAAAGATAGATTATAAGCAAAACACATAAA